CCCCAAAACCCCAAAACCCCAAAACCCCAGCTTTTACCAGAAAGTAGAATAATATAATTAAGAAAGTATTTAATAGTATTAAAATAAAATATGGAAAGTAATCCAGTCTCGAATCTAAGAGAAATTAAGACTGTCTTAGAAGCAGAAGATAGAAGCATATCATTATTGACAACCCTTTCCCTTGCAATTAAGGTCCTTCCTTATTTTGGATATGCAGACCAATGCAAAATTCTACTGACACAGCTCAGGTCGGAGTCCAGACAACTCTGGCTTTCTAATGAAGACCAGTGGCTCAAGCCTTTCATTAACGACCAGGAGGAAGAAGTATTTCATATAAAGAAGAGAAATTTGGAGGTCAAGAATCTTAAAGGGCCTTCAAGCTCCGATGATGAAGTATCTTGAGACTCACAAGTGATGGATCTGGCACATTCAAACGCTTATAAGCTATATTCTTTTGGCTTTTGGCTTGATGATGAGGATCTCCCAGGCCTTGAAACTATTGCTGATTTCTGACAAATAGTGGATTCAGAATTGTTAAAAGTTGGAGTGATATTTATTTTTGCTGACATCAGCACAATTTCTAATTTTGAATGGCTTTTAACAATTTCTAAAACTCTGAAGATTAAAGTAGAAGAGCATAAAGTTAACAAAGCAACTTATTATAAATTTAAGAAGCCCCCTTTTTGGATTTCGGAAATAAGCTGAGTCGATGATACTAAAAACTTCTATGTGTGTTCATATAATTGGGATCTCCCAAATAATCAGAGCGAGCAAGTTTTGGTTAGCAAAATTAGAAATAATTACCTTGAACTTCCAGAACTTGAAGAGTTATTCAGGAAATTACTCAAGAATGTGACCATGAAAACTCTTTTAAAAGAAGTTAAGGATCATGATATTAATATAAAACTGGATCATAGGAATATTGTGAGAGATAAGGATTGTATTCACCAGCTCTCAGATTTATTAGACAATCACATAATTACTGAAGATTGTCAGAGAGGGTTTGTTCCAACTTTCGTACTTCACTGTAAAGGGTTATTTAAACATCAGAGTCAGTCCATGCAGCCAAACGATCTTGATTTAATTCCAATTTTATCAAATATGCTAAACAATAAAGGATTCCAAATCAAATTAATTTTCCCTCGCAAAAGTTTCTGAAAGGCTACGAAGTATGAGATAAAAGGAGACAAATGCTTGATTGGCTACAGCAACTGGACTATGAAAATGACTAATTTCAGGTTAGAAGTCTCAAACGACTGCACTATTGATAATAATTGTATTGTATTCGGATCAAATGAAAATAATTTTGATGCAGATGTATCTGAAAAAGCAAGTTTTAATGACCTTGAAGATCACAAATCGTCATTCGAAGATCTAAAGATCTATATTCCTACTGATGAAATAGAATCTCTCAGCTGAGATTTTGGATTCCTGAGAAAAATATTCTCTGTAGATTCAATTCAGAAACTATCAGATTTACAAATAAAGATTTCTTCTATTGATCTTAGTAAAGAATACACCTGCGACATTCTCCAAAGCCTGCCTAAATCCATAAAAGTAGAGATAGAAATCATTGATTCTGAGCCTGAAAGTGACCAGCAAGAGCAGAGCAATGAAATATCCTTTGAAGCTCTTCAGAATTTGAACATAAAGAAACTCAAGATTGGTTATGAAATCAGCAACAAGGATTTGATGCTCTCATTAATTTCATTTCTGGAACATCAAACTGCTCTTAATGTTATCTCTGTCAAGATCAGAGCCTCTGAGATTGAAGATGCAAATTCAGTCTTTAAGTCCTTACTTGGAGCTATCTGCGACTTACATTGCTTAGATATTGACATCTCAGTTTCAGAAGCAACTCCTGAGATGACTGAGATGTCTAAAGAGTTTGCTAAAAGCAATATTGACAAGAACATTTCGATCAGCCTCGATAACTTATCAGAAAGATCTGAACCAACAGAAAATTTTGAAGATACCAGTTCTGAAGATTCTAGCTCAGAATCTAAAGGATGTTCTGGAGAAATACTAATAACAGACAAGTTCACTAAATTAAAGAACAAATTTAACTAAATTTCAATGTTGGAACCTTATCTCGGGGTTTTGGGGTTTTGGGGTTTTGGGG